CTCCAGGGACTGCTGCAGGCCGCCGCGTTGCGCGCGGCGCCAGGCGCCGCCAGCCCGCCAGGGGCGAGGGCCCTTGCGCGGGCAGCGAGGACCTGGCCATCGCTCGGACGTCCATTCCCTGTGCTTTTTTCGTGCGTGGTTTTTCGCAGGATGATCCAGGATGCTCCTTAATAATCCCCGCCGAGAAAAAGTGCACACGTCCGAGCGATACCAAGGGACGAGGCTCGAGCTGGATGGAGGGGGGGGAGAGAAAGAGAGACGCCGCTGCGGTCCGGGCAGGCATGAGCTGGCTCGAACCGAGAGATTGAGTTAGGTCGGCAACGGGTCGGATCGCCAGCGAGTCGTCCCGAGTCGGATCGAAATCGGACCGCCGCGCCGGGCTCCGGCCGGCAGCGGCCGGTGCTGGTAGAACGGACCGAATCGAGTCGAATCGGAATCGCGGCCCCAGCTGGCGGATCGAGTCACATCGCATCGAATCGTAGGCGGCCCTATCCGGGTGCTGGTCCATGAGTGGACGGCGCGACGGCAAGGGGAGGGCACGAGCGAGGCGTAGCCAGGCGGCCAGGCGGCAACTCTGCGCCGAGGGCAGGACTACAGCAAGGATCCTTATCCCACGGCGCCCACGACGCACACAATGGCAACGCCCACAACGACAGCGACCGCAATGACGACCACGCCCACGACGACCACGCACACGACGAGGACAACCCCTGGCATCCGCAGATGTGATTTGTTCAGTCCGCGTCCTCGAAGGTTCCGACCACTTCCACGGGGACTGGTCTTTCGTCACCGATCCATGTTAGCTTGCCCCATGCCCAGAAAGGCCCTCGGGGAACCGAAATCGAGAGAAACCGCCAGTTGGAACTGCTCGAAGCGGACACAACGAATCCGAGTGGACGACGGTTACGACGGTTACGACGACGACGACGACGACGACGACGACGACGACGACGACGACAACGACGACGACGACGACGACGACGACGACGACGACGACGACGACGACGACGACGACGACGACGACGGCGGCGGCGGCGGCGGCGGCGGCGGCGGCGGCGGCGGCGGCGGCGGCTGCGGCTACGATGACGGACAACGTCGGCTACAACGACAACAATCCACAGACAGACAGGCGGTGAACAGGCCGTTCCCCGCTCCACCCTCGTCGTCTCCATCCCTTCTCTTCCTCCCCCTCCTCCCGCGTCCGCCCCCTTGCTCCTCCGCACTTCATCATCCTCCCTGGAAGCCGTCCTTTCTCCTCCTTGTGGGTCCTCCTCATTCCTCCTACTTGTCCTATCTCCTCCACCGTCCTCCCTTCTCCTTCCTGGCAAGTGCCCTGGCGGCCCTCTCCCCTCTCCTCACTCTCCCTGCTCGCTGTAGCCCCTCCCTTCTATTCCTCTATCCGCCGTTCTCCATCTTCCTGCGTCATGCTGCTGCTATCGGCTGATTTGATGTTGTCCTGAAGCCGCTTCCTGCGTCCTACTCCTCGTCCTCCTTTCTCAATATTCCCTCCTCCCTGGTGGCCGTCCTGCTCCTTCCTCGCGTGTCCTCCTCCTTCCTCCTCCCTGTCCTCTCTCCTCCGCCGTCCTCCCTCCTCCCTCGCGGGTTCCCCACCATTGGCACCCTCCCTTCCCATCGTCCATCCTCCTCGCTCCCTGCTCCTCCTCCTCCTTCTCCTCCTCCTCCTCCTCCCATCATCCATCCTCCTCTCCTCCTGTTCCTGTGTCCTCCTGCCCTCCCTGGCGGCCGTCCCTGGCCCTGACTGTTCTGCGGTGTGAGGAAGAAGAACTTTTGACCGAGCCAGGCAAGATGATGTACCCAACATCATCGCCAACCTGCTGCTCACCAATGATTTCGTGTATGATCAATTGAGCATCTGCGTCATTAGTCAGCGTGTTGTTCTGACATCTTTTATACTTGCATCGAGGTGATCACGGGGCTCTGACTTGACAAGAGTCGGAGGTGCAAACTGAGCGGCTCGCTCGAGACACCCCTCCGATCTGGCCGCCAACGGGCAAGAGTCACACCCCCTGGCAGCTCCCACTTGGGGTGCTGAAGCCAGCGCTTTGCTCGAGGCATCCTCACAGGGAAGGCAGGGGAGGCTGAGACACCAAAGACTCTAAACGCCTGCGACCTCCCCGCGACCTGGCCGCTGGCGGCTTCCCCTTGGGGTGCTGAAACCAGCGCTTCGACCGAGACATCCTCACACGATGCTCTGAAGCCTGGGGGGCCGAAACAAGCACGCCGCGTGAGGCGTTCCCGCCGTCTGGGCGCGAACGGGTCCGTGCAGTCGCCTCTGGCAACTCCCCTGTGGGGTGTCGAAACCAGCGCCTCGCCCGAGACATCCTCACACTTTGCTCTGAATGCAGAGGAGGAGCATGAGGATGAGGATGAGGATGAGGAGGAGGAGGAGGAGGAGGAGGAGGACGAGGACGAGGAGTCTGGGGGTCGAGACGAACTAGCCGCCTGAAACATCCCCCGCGATCTGGGCGCCACCGGGCCTGTGCAACCACGCCTGGCAGCTGCTCCCTGGGGGTGCTGAAGCCAGCGCCGCGCCTGCGACACGTCGCGATGTTGTATCATCAGCCTCGAGGGGCTCCTTGCCAGGGGTCCTCCTGCTCCTAGTCCTCGTCTTCCTTCCTTCTCCTTCCTCCTCCTCCTCCTCCTCCTCCTCCTCCCCCTCCTCCTCCTCCTCCTCCTCATCCTCCTCCTCCTCCTCCTCCTCCTCATCCCCCCCACTCTGTTCTGAAAGCAGAGGACCCTGGGGTGCCGAAACAAGCAAACCGCCGCCTGGGACACCCCGCAAGCTGGGCGCGAACGAGCCCGTGCACCTACCCCTGGGGGCTCCCCCCATAGGGGTGTTGAAGCCAGCAGCTCGCTCGAGACATGCTCACAACCTGCGAATATGAGTCCGAGGGTGAATGGGTCTGGGTATGATGGGTGGGCCTGGGTAGAAATGTGATTGAATGTGCGTAAGTCTGGTTATGAATATGGCTACGCATTAGTCCGAATGTGAACAACTCTGAATACGAGCATGGCCTATCGTGAGATGTGAGAACGCGAGGCGGGTGAGTCTGAGGCGGAAGCGTCCAGAGAATAACAACAGCCCCATTTTCTACTACGGGGAACAAATCTGCCGCCGACGACGACGACGACGACGACGACGACGACGACGACGACGACGACGACGACGGCGGCGGCGGCGGCGACGACGACGACGACGACGACGACGACGACGACGACGACGACGACGACGACGAAGGCGGCGGCGGCGGCGGCGGCGGCGGCGACATCGAGCGGCCGCGCCTGTGGCGCAGCGCGGGGCGCCGGGGCTGGGCAGGAAGACTGCGCCCGAAAGCAGGCGAAAAGCCTACGCAGGAGCCGGGAGGGGAGGAAGCGGCACGGCGGGGGGAGGAGGGGGAGGAGGGGGAGGAGGAGGAGGAGGAGGAGGAGGAGGAGGAGGAGGAGGAGGAGGAGGAGAGGAGGAGGAGGAGGAGGAGGAGGAGGAGGAGGAGGAGGAGGGGAGGAGGAGGAGGGGGGAGGAGGGAGGAGGGGAGGGAGGAAGGAGGGAGGGAGGAGGGAGGAGGGAGGAGAAAGGAGGGAGGGAGGATGGAGGATGGAGGGAGGAGGAAGGAGGATGAGGAGAAGAAGGAAGAGGAGGGGGAGGGGGGGAGGAGGAGGAGAGGAGGAGGAGGAGGAGGAGGAGGGAGGAGGAGGAGGAGGAGGAGGAGGAGGAGGAGGAGGAGGAGGGGGAGGAGGAGGAGGAGGAGGAGGAGGATGGAGGAGGAGGGGAGGAGGAGGAGGAGGAGGAGGAGGAGGAGAGGAGGAGGAGGAGGAGGGAGGAGGAGGAGGAGGAGGAGGAGGAGGAGGAGGAGGAGGAGGAGGAGGAGGAGGAGGAGGAGGAGGAGGGGAGGAGGAGGGAGGAGGGGGGAGGGGAGGAGGAGGGAGGAAGGAGAGGAGGGAGGGAGGGAGGAGGGAGGAGGAAGGAGGGAGGATGGAGGAGGGAGGAGGGAGGAAGGAGGATGAGGAGAAGAAGGAAAAGGAGGAGGAGGAGGAGGAGGAGGAGGAGGAGGAGGAGGAAGCCTCGGGCCCGAATGGTCACCTGCGATCGCGAGATCGTATTCGCGCGTGCGCGCGCAAGGCCCGCCATGGCTTGTCTCTTCTCATATTGCTCATTCGCTTGCTCAGCTTGCACACCCATCTTCCGGGCCTCTCTCCCAGGGCGCGCTCGGACCACCAGGAGTTCGAAGCGACTCCCCTCCTCTGACGAGTGGCTCGGGTCACCCGTGTCTTCGACGAGGCTCCCTGGCGAGTTCGCGCAAAGCCCGCCCCTAGGCTACCGGTTACCCACACCCCTCCCCAGACCCCCGATGTCATGATTTTTTCATGACGCCGACCCCCAAAGGTCTGGATTTCTTCCCCAGGACCGGCTCTTCGCTCTTCATCCCGAACCGTCTTTTTCACGGTCCCGAGGCCCGGGAAGGGCCCCTGGAGGCCGAGACTCAGGAACAGAACCTCCCGTGGTGCCTCGTCCGCCCCGCGAGGGGGTCGGGGGGCCGAAGACTGCTCGAGGGAGCCGCTGGCGGCGGCGGCACCGCCAGCCGCGGCCGGGCGCGCGGGCGGGCGCGGAGCAGCGCGCCAGGCCCCCGTGCCGCCCGGGTCTTGCGGCGGTGCTCGGCCGCGCGCCGCGCGGGGCGTGGGCGGGCGCGGCGCGCAAGGGAGCCGCGGGCACCCCGGAGCTGGTCGCCTGGAAAACGAGCGCGGGGGGGGGGAGGAGAGGAGAGCGGGGGGCGGGGGCGGGGCGAAGAGGCAGTAGGGAGGAGGGGGCGGAGGAGGGTGGGAGACGGGGGCGGGAGGGGGGGTGGGGAGGGAGGGAGGGAGGCAGGGAGGCAGGGAGGCAGGGAGGGGGGGAGGGGAGAGACGAGAGGGAGCACGAGGAGGAGGAGGGGGGGGGAGACGCAGGGCGGAGGAGCGGCAGGAACAAGCGAAGCGGGAGGGATCCTCTACACGTTGTCGGACAGCTGCTGGCGCTGCCGCTCCTCGATCAGCTTGGTGTACGCGCTCTTCTCCTGATTCTTCTTGTTGAAGTCCTCGAGCTGCGCAAAGTTCTTTCGCTTGGCGATGAGCTTGTCGAGGGCTGGTGGATACTGCCCGACGCAATACCAACTACCAGGGGCATCGCATACCCTGTTGGCGGGGTTCGACACCCACTCCTTGGACTCCTCGGAGATGTTCACGACCTTGAAGATTCTGATAATGTCAAACCTTGTCGAGTGCACCAGCTTAAAGTACTTGGGATTCACGTGTACCCCCTCCTCGGGAAACCAGGAAGCCACATAAACACAGGTCGTCCGATGATGTCCGCGGACAGGTTCCCCACTGGCGCCGGACATCCCTCCCAGCGCGCGAAGCGCACCAGGGGCAGCCAGCGCCAGAGGCACCAACCAAGGGTGCGGAGGGGGCCCAGAGCAGACGGACAAACACGTACGCGGACGGTCGAAAATTTATGCCCACGAGCTGGTCTGGCTATCCAATCCTTCCCGTTCCGCACTGCTCTGTAGACAAACGACTCTCGCATCATCTTCGAGGGCCCGGCATGGGTGAAGCCGTACTTGGTGCACGTCGGGTCATCCTCACCGCAGACGTCGGGGAACACGGAGCTGCCGATGCGGGCGAAGTGGGTGGAGATGCCCAGGTCAGTTTCCTCGTTCCCCACGTGCACAAGCACATAGTCTGCCAGGTGGCGCATGGCTCTCCAGGCCTTGGTCTCGTGCGACGAGAGGATGCGGCCGATGGTCGCGATGTGCTCGTGATTCCACGTGTTGCCGTCTGCCAGCGACGTACGATTGCCGATGCCGGTTATCTGGTACCCGTAGTCCCACCAGGAAAATACACGAGAGCCCTCCGGCGTGTTCTTCGTGAGCCACTGGTAGCCCTTCAGACCGTCGTCCACCATGACTGATGTTCCATCATTCAGCTGGGCCTGGAACACGATGCCGGGGTGGGAGAAGCTCACCGCACTCGCATTGCAGAACTCGGCCCAGTCCCTGGCCTGCTGCACCAGGAAAGGCAACGCAGGCCGCGCCATCGCCAGGGCCACCGCCAGCCGCAGCAGCCTGTCCAGGACAGGAGCTCTTGCTCCAAAGCCGTTCTTCGCAGCCACCAGGTCCCTGAACTCCGTGGGCCAGACGATCGGCTCCAGGGCCTGATAGATCGAGCCCATGCCGCCCGTCCGCCTGGGGGCCTCTGGCCGCCCCGCCACTTGCGCGGCGCGGCCGCGCAGCAGCAGCAAACACTGCTCCACACACCAGTCTGCGGCGATGCCCACAGGGTAGCCGGCCAGCATCGACACGACGGGCCCGCATATGATGATCAGCCGGTTCATCTTGAGCGAGAAGGTGTAGGCGACGATCGCAAAGATGACTGGGAAGACCTCGTGCGAGACGGGGGCTTCTCCACAGCCACCGCCCCGGGGAGCCGGTGGCCCTGGACCGGGACGAATGTGGATATACTGCGAGCCTCCGGAACCCAAAAAAATCCATACCTCCACCACCTGCCGAGCTCTCCGACGATCGATCCCCCAGGGAGTGGTTGTGGACAAGTCCCCGCCTCAAACCTTGGCAGGCGTGCGCTGGTGCCAGCACAGCAGAACACCTACCAGGGCAAAGCCCTTGGCCTTTCCCAGGTAGTGGTCGTAAGCCTCCACGCTGGTCGGCTGGTGCTCCGCAACCGAGTCCACCAGCGGGTTCCCCGTCTTCTCGTGCTTCAGGAAGATCGCGCGGATGCGCGAGGACAGGGGGGAGAAATGGTTCATCTGGAACAGCACCAAGCACACAGACGCGACGACACCGGCGGCGGCAGCGAAGACTAGCACGCGAAAGAGAAAGAAGCGCCACGCCGAGACGCCCTGCCTCTGCCGCCGCCTCCACACGTCGCAGACCTCCAACAGCTGGAAGCCGACGAACACGGCCATCGATGGCATCTGCTCCAGCGACTTCAGGGGGGTCCACCCCACCACGGGCACCAGCGTTGCCCCCGCCGTGCCAACCACGTACCAGATCGAGTACGAACGATGAAGGCCGCTGCTGAACTTGCCGAGGCCCACCAGCACCGCGGCGTGCAGGCCGATGAGGTTGTTGACGAAGATGTTAGGTGGCCACATGTGAACCCTATCCCTACCCCCCACGATTTCTGAGGGGGAGGGTGGGGTTCACTTCGCTCGGGAGCTCCCAAACGAAGTGAACCCCACCCTCCCCCTCAGAAATCGTGGGGGGTAGGGGTAGGGGTCACATGTGGCCACCTAGATGTAACCGCCCCACGTGGCAACCGCACCCGCGTAGGCCAGGCCAGCCAGCAGCGCCCAGGGCCACGACCCGCGCGTGCGGAGGGACCGGCACCAGAAATAGAAGGTCGCCATGAACCTGGGGAAGCCAGGAGGTACCCCTCCTCCTCCTCCTCCTCCTCCTCCCCCCTCCTCCTCCTCCTCCTCCTCCTCCTCCTCTTCCTCCTCCTCTTCCTCCTCCTCCTCCTCCTCCTTCTCCTGCTCATACCCCATACCGATACTCCCTGGATCTCCCCCAGGGCAGCGTGCTGACAAGGACTTCGAGGAGAATCTAGCCGTGGCCACGTGGGCCTGCAGTGAAGCCCCCGACAAGCGAACACGTGGGAAGGGTCGCGGTATCGGTACCTCGCCCTCTGCTGAGAGCCAAGCCATGGCGTGCGCCTCGTTGTCGAACTCTCCGGCCATCGAGCGCATCAAGTGGGCAGGCACCCCGGCCATCACGAAGGCCGCAACCACGCCGGCGCCCGTGCTCTCGGACACCTCGGCGGTGAGCAGCGCGGTGAAGAAGGTCGCGACAGCGCCCAGCCACGCGCCCGTCATGACGCAGACGTTGTTCAGGCTCATGGGCCCAAGCGAGAGCTCGCCGCTGCCCGGGAGGTACGGGAGCGCCGCCGCGGGGAAGTAGGCCATGACCTGGAAGAATCGGTATTAGACAAGCGCGCTCTACTACTCGCGAAGTAGCTACTCGCAAATGACCGCAGGGGACGTTATGTTACACAGGGGCAGACGTATGGCTTTTAGAACGTTTGCGAGTAGGCACTTTGCGAGTAGTGGAACGCGCTCGGCGAGGTAGGAACACAAATGTTCGGAGCTTCGCGCGGATTTCTTAGATAGCAGGTGCAGCGCAGGAGGCTCCGCCAGGGGGTCCAGCACCGATCCAGTAAATCCGCGCAGGGCTCAAGCAGATGATCCGGCTTCTCTTCTTCTAGACGAGCGCGTTGCACTACTCGCAAAGTAGCTACTCGCAAATAGCCTTGATCCACCGTGCGGGATCTACGATACATGACGTCGAGGAAGACAGCTATTTTCCTGACGCTTGCGAGTAGGCACGTTGCGAATGATGGAACGCGCTCGGTGATCTTCGAGGACCTCAGCCGGCATCTTCCACGTGGCCTTGGGAACCCGCTTCATCGCCTCGGGAGCGGCCCAGAGGGGGGTGTCCAAGAGAGGGGGTGCAAATCATAACCGGCGGCATGTGCGCGGCCCAGCGGGGGGGCCAGGGACGTAATGAAACAAGAAGAGGCGCCCTGAAATCTGCGGAAATATCATGGCCCCGCCATGATATCCCCCCCCTAGTCATCACCCCCCTCTTTGCCGCCCCCGATCGCCTCCCACACCCACACCGACAGGATCTGCATGCCGGGGTAGATGGTGGTGCCCACGGGCCGGCCGAGGGGATACCAGCTCTGATAGTCGAACCACCTGAAAAAGTCGTGCCTGGGCAGATAAACCGATCAGATCCTCCTCCTCCTCCTTCTCCTCCTCCTCCTCCTCCTCCTCGATGGCCCTCGCCGAGAAAAAATGCACACGTCCGAGCGATGCCAGGGTGGTGGTGCGGCGCCACGGGCGCCGCTCCAGCCCCCTGGCGGCTGCCCGTACGCGTGGCCTACGGGTGGGTATACACGCCATGGGCGTGGCGGTCTGCTTCTTCCAGCTCAGGGCGTTGCAGTCAACCTGCAGAGTAAGGAGGCTCATTTCGAAGCGTTTCGAGCGGGGCGCGGCCAACGAAAGTTTCCAAGGATGGACCCAGGAAGCAAGGATGCAAGGGTACCCTTGGGAGGGATGCCCATCCTTACTCTGCGGGTCGACTGTAAACTGTTAAAATCCGATACCACCACTCCCCGTGCGCACTCATCCCGAGGTGGCGTTCCGACCAAAGTCTGAGGCAGAGTCAGGCCGTCGCGACGAAGGCCTCCTAGGAGGCCCCCCCCAACAAAAACATAACAGGGAAGGATAGCGGTATCGGTACCTTTTCCATCCTCTGAATGCCAGCCGTGCTTCGCCAAATAGCGTGCGGCGTGCCAATTGAAGGTGGGGTCGTAGCCGTGGATCTGGTAGCCGTAAATGTGCACGCCCGCCAGGCGGATCCTGTACGCCCACAGGCAGCACGAGAGAAGCAGCGCGAGCTTGACGCAGCCGACTGGCAAGTCGAACAGAAACCTCTCTCCTTCTCTTCTTACCCTCCCTCCCCCCCGCGGCCTCCTCCTGCTCCATCCTATCCTCCTCATCCTCATCTCTGTTCCTTTCCCCTCTCGTCCTTGACCCACATTATGCTGTTCACTGCCGCTTCCCTCTTTCTCGCCGTCGGTAAAGCTCCACATGACGCTAGCGCACCAGCTTGTCCTTTTCATCGTCCCCTCCTCCTCCTCCTCCTCCTCCTGCTCCTCCTCCTCCTCCTCCTCCTCCTGCTCCTCCTCCTCCTTCTCCTCCTCCTCCTCCTCCGCCTCCTCCCTCTCGCAATCGATCCTCTGGCCTGTCGGCGCCATCGATCCTCTGGCCAGTCGGCCGGCCCCGGCCAGCAACTGTTTAGGTTGCCACGCAGACGTCTTACGGGGACAGGAAAAGTAAGGAATTCCCCCCCTCCAGGCTGCCAGGCAATAACTGTCACACGTAACCCCCGGTCCCTCGGCCACGCGGCCGGGACAAGCTATATGTTGTCTAAGTTTGCCTCGGGGCGCAGGATTTGCCCGCTCGCATGCGGCGGTAGTCTGGAAGCCACGTCAGTCCCTAATTCCCTGAAACCTACAATACTTTCCGTGGGGTCTTCATGTCGATCACCAACTTTCCTTATCCCACTTAGTGGGATCGTGTTGCTGCTATTTCAATGTTTTTCTCCCGGCACAGGGCCTAATCTGGCCTACTCTGGACACTGGTGGCATTTTCAGATTCTGGGCTCTCGTCTGTTCCCGCATTGTCCCTTTCAGCTCTGCGTTTTCGCTGCCATCTGTCTCAATATCCTTGGTGTGCTAGCGGTGACGCCGCTCAAACCGTATTGGAAACCAATATGTGTTGCCTCTTGGTGCCTTCGGTCCATGCCGCCACCGTTCCTGGGTTGCGGGTTAGAGGTCTCTAGGAAGTTCGAAGGGATCTCGTGCAAGAACTCTCCGGGGCCTTTTGGTAGCAATTTTGGAAGCCTCTGGGGGGCCGGTTTGGAGCCTCTTGGGGCCTCTTTTGGGCTTTTGGGGGGCCTCTTGGAGCCTCCTGGGGGCCTCTTGGGGGCCTCTTGGGGCGGAAGGGTCGAATTGTCGGCTCGTGTTCCCCCTCTTGGGCTTGGGCCCCCCGTGGGGGCGTCCTGAAGCCTTCTTCTTGGGTCATGTTGGGCGCCTCCTGGGCCGTTTGGGCCAATCTTGGAGTGTTGAAAGCACGAAAACGACGCGAAAAGCATGGAAAACACACGGATTATGAATGATGAAAGGTCTCTTGGGGCCCTCTTGGAGGTCCTCTCGGAGCGCTTTTGGGGCTGGGGCCTCTTGGGCGGGGGACTCTCGGGCCGTCATGGGGCCATCTTGGGCGGCTCGGTGCGCTCTTGGGCCGTCTTGGCGACCTTTGGGCGTCCTCTGCGGGCGCCGGGGAGGGCCCTCGAGGCGTAAGGAGCGCCCAGGAGCGTTTAAAAAGGCCCGCCGGCGCCAGGGACTAAAGTGGTTCGGGTGGGGGGGGGAATTTGAAAAAGTGGGGGCCAAGGCCCTGGGACCCAGACGCCTGGTGTATCACGGCTTCCCCGGAGGCCTGGACCTTGCCCCCGGGACCGCGGGACTGGCTGTTCATCCCGAGCCGTTTTTGGCGGCTCTGGGGCCCGACGAGGCCCCCCAGAGGCCGAAAACCGCGGAAAGCCTGCGTCTCGAGTTTCTCGAGACGTTGGAGGTCTGGGTCCCTCGTCATTTTTCGTCCTCCTCCGCCGCCTCCGCCCGAGAACCTCCACAGCGCCTTCGGCCCGCGACCGTGTTCCGCCTGACCTGCCCCCGCCCCCTGGTGCTTCTTGCCCGCCATGCGGGCCGAGGGCGCCCCCTTGTCGGGCCGCAAAAGGTCTGCACGGTCAAGGGCGGCGGCGGGCGCGGCAGAGAAGACGACCGAAACAGGCGGCGACGGCCGCAGGCGGAGGCAGCTCCAGGGATGCCTCTTAGGAGTGGTGAAGACCTCGTGCGCCCGAGTATAAGAAAAATGAAGAAGAAATAATATCAATGATAATGATGATAATGATAATAATCATAATGATAATAATGAAAACAATGATAAGAATGGCAAAAATAATAGTAATAATAAAAGTAATAACGGATAATAATAATAATAATAATAATAGTAATAGTAATAATAATAATAATAACAACAATGATAATAATAATAATAATATTATTAACAACAAGAACAATAAACAATAGTAATAGCACGAAAGCGAATGGAGATAATACTTCGACGAAACATTAAATAATTCGCCGATACAGCGTGCAAGTGTACCCTGAAAAATTGTTGTTGCGTTTTGGTTGCGAAACGTGTTACGAAATTTGCGTTTCGAGAGACTTGTTTTCAAATGTGCTCGGTTGTAAGCATGTGAAAACCGTGCGATTGTTAACACACTGCGCTGCGAACTCACGCTGTCGTTCGATCATCACGTGACCAAGCGAACGTCTCGCGCGCGTTGAAGTTACCGTTCCCATGGTTTGCGCGACTGTCCGCGCATGGTGATTCACACCGCGAACTCGGTGGTTCCGGGGCCCAGCGACTCATGGAAACCACGTGCGACGGTCGGTCCGTGGCCTTTCGTGGCCCGCAAATTGAACGATTTCGCTGCGGAAACAAGGAAAAGGAACAGGGGGAGGGGGAGGAGGACAAGGACAAGGAGGAGGAGGAGGAGGAGGAGGAGGACAAGGACAAAGACAAGGAGGAGGAGGAGGAGGAGAAGGAGGAGGAGGAGAAGGAGGAGGAGGAAAAGGACGAGGAGGAGGAGGAGGACGACGACGACGAGGGACGAGGAACACCGCGCAAAACTCGAACTGGGAATTGGCTCCTCGCTCGACGCCATTCGTTTGGCATGTCTGTTTCCCGTTTCCCGACTCCATCGGGTATCCGCCCCGCCCCTCGCTCGTTCTCGCTTTCCCTCCCTCTCTTTATTTCTCATTCGTATTTGCATGGTTCCCTCTCGCTCTCTCCCTATCGTTGTCTTTCTCGCTCATTCTCTCTGTTTTTTGTAGGATGCAGGGATGTCCCTGGGACGGCTGTCCACCCTTGCTATGCGGTTTTTCGCGTCGCGACGGGGCCCATTCCATTGCAATTATTATTTCGCGGTTTGACTGAAATAATTCTATGTACACGATGTTTACGAATTCGCGTGATCGCCTTTCGCTTTCTCTCGGTCCCTCTCTCTCTGTCCCTCTTTGAACTCTTTTTTTACTCTCTCTCTCTCTCTCTCTCTCTCTCTCTCCGCGCACGATATCGATGCATGACCTCGTATGTTGTGGCGCATGCACATGTTTTACCCATCCGTCTATATTACTCTCCATCTCCCTCCTATCTGTCCTTCCCTCCCCGCATGCGATATCGTTCCACGAGTTCGCAACACCCGCGTGCGTCATTGCCGAACCCTCGGGTAACCGTCATCCTCATCATGCTCAACATCGTCATCATCAATATCACCAGCATCATCACCGTGCATCAGCATCCGCATCCACTACAAATCATCATGGCTACCATCACTGACCACCACCCGCACAAGTATATCATCTCCATCGCCATCACCATCAGCGTCATGAGCACAAAAAGTTTGAAAGAAAGCCCCACAATGACCGCCATCAAAACCACAACCCCAAACATCAACAGCACCATCATCATCACCATCCCCATCAGCTTCAACATCACCAACATAATCAGTCTGACCACCCGCATCGTCATCACCATTGTCGGGCGCATCAGCTACCTGGTGAGAACGTTCATGCGAGCTGCTGTTTACGATTGGCGGTCGGGGCGCTAGCGGGTAAAATTCAAGTAGGTGTCGGGTCGTGTTCGACTAGTTTTCGGGTAGGTTCCGGGTCCGATTGGCGCATCCCCATAGGCCACTCTTGATCCGAAAACCCCAGCCCATATAACCGTTATGCCCTGCACCTCTATGTGTCAGCGCCCCTGTGTTACGCATGTATAGGCGCCACGCAGTGGACATGTTTCGGGCAACATGAAGTATGCGATGTCGGTGATGGGTATGTCGCTGCATGGTGTTGCGTGCGTTGGGCAGTCGTGAATGCGGTGCGCGATTGCGATGAGAGGCGGTGCGCGGACTAGCTGGCGGGCGTCGTCACCCCGTGGGTTCGCGCGGGAATACTTGGAGTTCGAGCGCTCGACGCGCGCGCAGAGGTTCTTTGGACATGCACCCATGGCACGCGCGATGTTTCTTCCATAGAGATCAAACAACTCAGGCACGATCATCGACCATGTCCTCGAAATCCTGGTCAGCCATGGGCCACGGGCACCGCGCGGGCGCGCCGCGGCCTGGGAGGGTAGCCCTCTCCGCGCTCAAGCACGGGAAGAAGTCAAATCTGCCACCGTCCGTCCACGTCGCGCTCACGCGCCCGTAGCAAAGCCCCCAGCCCTGGCCAAACATGATGTTCGCCCAGTGCCAATAACGACGTTCACCCTTTGGGTGGGGGAACGCATACTACCCTAAGCGATGCAGCCAGCCTACAGTGAATCGGCCCGCTATTTCTGCCACCTCATGGGTCGGCAGCCAGCGCCCGTGCCGGTTGTGCCCCCGCGTGGGGTGGCAGACCGCGCGCGCCCGACATGATGCACCAGATAGGTTATATGTGTGTTTGCGTGCGTGTATGTGTGTGTGCGTGTGCGCGCGTGTACACGCGCGCGCGCTCGTGCTCGTGCGCGCGTGAGCGCGTGCGTGCGCGCGCGTGCGCATGCGCGCGCGTGTGTAGGTGGTTGCGCGCGCGCGTGCGTGTGTGTGCGTGGGCGTGCGTGCGTGCGTGCGTGCGTGCGTGCGTGCGTGCGTGCGTTCGTGCCTGCCTGCTTGCGTGCGCGTGTGCTTGTGCGTGCGCGTGTGTATGTGCGCACGCGTGCATGCGCATGCGTGCGCTCGCGCGCGCGCACGCGCGCGCGCGCATGTAGCTGAAATCGCGGCCGACAGGGGTGGGCGCAAGCAGGGAGTGGGCGCCGATGGAGGGTCGGTTCCGATGGGTCATGCTGTTGCCCCCTGGGTTCCATCAGCGGGTCGCCCCCCATGGGGGCGTCATGATAGCTTATGACATTCACATTCGACTCGCTGTCGCCCGCGAACGATCTGCCGCCCGGCATAGCACCGCCGCGCGGACTGACTGCGGCAGCAGAGAGACACGCCTATCAACTGCTCAAGCCGAGAACGCAGCGGCCACACCGACAGACAAACGGCAACGTCGGCAGACACTAATATGGCACGACGCGCGCATTTGGAAAACGCGCGGGCGTCGGCACGGCACCCGCCCTCGACTCCATCGACCCCGCCTAGCATTGCGTTCGAACCGGTTTCGCAGACGAAGCGTCGGCGATCCAGGTCGGGCGGGGAAGAGGAATGGAGCGGCGGGCGTCGCACCAGCACCCGCGTGCATTTTCGCGCGCGCATGCGCGAGCCAGCATGTCAAGCGCGACTAACCACGCACCCAAACCGCATTGGACAAAGCGGGGAGGGGCTAGTTGTCGCACATAGGATAATTAGGGCGGCGCTGCGGGGAACTGGCAGATTAAGCGGAAGTGGCGACGCGGCAACGCGTGCGCGCGTGCATATGTATATATATATATATATATACACACACATACACATGCACATATGCTTGAGAAGGGGGCAGCGGATCGGAAGTGATGGGGGGCACAGATTCTGTTGTCGGAGATGACCTGCATGGAGGGCGGGAGATAATGAAGACGAAAGATAATGAAGACGAACGCCGAGGAAAAGAAGGAGGAGGAAGACATGGAGGAGAAAGATGAATCGGGCAAACGGGAAAGAGCCCAGAGGGGCGGAGGACGAAGGGAAACGTGAACGAAGGGACTGCGAGAGGCGATGCGGGGCACGATGAGACGGACGCAGCGATAGACGGCGCAAGGTCGACGAGGGCGGACGGGGATGCGGCGGCGAGGATTGCATGGGAATTGATGGGGGGCGGGGGGCGATGGAGGGGCAGCTGCGCGCGTCGTCGCGCGCGCCGTTTCGTTGCGTTGCGATGGCGCGCCCAGAGGGCGGCATGGCGGCGCGGGGGGCTGACGGAACGGGTTGTTATGACGGGGCCGCGCGCGCTGGCTACATTGGCATGGCGGCATTCACCGTCGGGGAAGCTGCCAGCCGACGCGCGCGCGCTCGGCGCTGCAATGCTGCACCGCTGTCGACAGACAGCCTGCCATACTTGTGCGCGACAGAGCGCGCCTCGGGTAGCTTTCGGGTAGTTTCCGGGTAGCTTTCGGGGAGCACTCGGGCAACTGCCCGGCATCTGTCGGGCATCGGGCGTCGAAACAGCGAACGTCGCGTGCCAACGCGGGGCGGTAGATAGCTGGGAAGGGAAGGGCGCGCGGCAAGGGCGGGAGCGCGCACGCCACGGCAAATGGGGGGGGGAACGGGGGGGGGCACCGGGGGGTTTACGATGATAACGGACATTGCGATAAGAGGCGGATGAGGAGGGTGGGATAGTCTTCGCGACATGCCCAGAAACAAGGGCTGCAGCACGCGGCGCGGGTGATATCACCGAGCCCCCGCTCAAGTACACGCTAAAAAGCTGGTTTGCTGAAGGTGAGGCAGCAGCCGAGCACGCGAGAACATGCCTCCCCCCCACGTGCTTCGACGTGAAGCGGCCACCATGCGAGCGATGCACACATTGAAAGCTTCGTCGACAAAAGTGCTATAATAGATAGGGTTCCCATGCTTTGGGATGTCGCATGTCATGTGCACCCACATGCGTTGCGTGGGCAGCAGCTGCTGCCCCATCTCCACCATCAGACGCAGGCGCCTCAAGCACATGTCCAGCAACGACTGG